TACAGGCTAATTTTTTTGGGTCTAAATGCCATCTATAAAACATTTTATAAAAATTCTCCCTTAGATTTTGTGCTTGTGTAAATCTTACATTTCTGACCCATATCTTTTCCCATGTTTCCATCATTATTGGTTCACCTACGTTTTGTGCCCATTTTATCATACAGTCCTTGACTAACTCTGTTTCTGAATCTATTTCCACTAGTGCGTTATACAACCTTTTTATATGCATTTGACCTTTATCTCTTGTTTGCTTTATCAAATTCTCATCCTGCTGCAAAATACCAATTTTTTTATCTTCTCTCCATCTGTCCTGCAGCTGTCCATACTGAAACCATGTCCTAATAATTCCTTCTTCTCTTAATTGCTCCATTGGTTTTAATTGTAATCTGACTCCTTCCTTATAAAGAAGTTCCTTATATGTAATCTTATCTTGCTTTTGTTCTAAGTTTATATTCTCTATCGCGTGTCTGGGTACTGTCCATACTGGTAACTTATCACTTAATTTATATTTATACCTTTTCCAGACCCGCAATAGAGAATTTCTTAATATATGACTTTTAAAAGCCTTATCTACTTTCTTGTCATAGACTAAATAAGCATGCCAGCCGTAGACCAAACCATATCCTTCAATATTCAATATCTTTTCCTCCGTTAAATTTATCCAGTCTGTGATTGCTGAGAAGGCAGCGGCTTCATAGTACAGTCTTAAGTTGGGCATTTTAAGACCACCTCTTTCTCGGATATCTTGCATTATCTTTTGTTTAACTCGAGGTTTCTTCTCTGCCCCCACAAACTTATTTATGCCCTTCTGCCATTCCTTCAAATTTTCATCTTTTTTTAATATAGGTATCATTTGGAAAAGAAATAAAAATTTTGGTAAAATATTCATTTTTACAGCGGCTATCCTTCCCAGCAAAGACAATTGTAGTTTTTTCCAATTTTCCATCTCTTTTTGTATTTTGTGCCATAATGGTTCATAATTGTGCTGATATAATTTCATATTTGCAGTCATAATATAAACCCCTAAGTATTTAACCTTCTTAACTACTTCAAATCCTGTTAACCTTTCTATCTCTTCTTTCTGGCTTCTAACCATATTTTTAGCTATTATTTTCGTTTTAGCTGCATTTATTTTGAAACCAGATACTTGTCAATATAAGCAGGTTATATCCATCAGGGCTGTAATCGATTGTACCGGTTGGGTTAAGGTAACAACCAGGTCATCCGCAAATGCTCGTAACTTATACTCATGCTGTCTAATTTTAATTCCATTTATTGTATCCATCTCACGTATTTTACTTAGTAAAACTTCCAGCGTCAACACAAACAGTAACGGAGACAAGGGACAACCTTGCCTTGTTCCTTTTTCTATATTAAAAGGATCTGTTAAGCCACCATTAACTATTATTTGCGCTGTTTGTTTTTGATATATTGCCTTAATAGATTGTACAAATTGTTCTCCAAATTGCATCCTTTCTATTAATTTTAATAAAAATTGCCAATTCAATCTATCAAAGGCTTTTTCAGCATCCAAAAACACTAGCACTGCGGGGACCTGGTTGTTCCTTCCCAGATACTCTAATAAATTAACAATTTGCCTTACATTACTCTTCATTTGTCTGCCATTTATAAAACCAGTTTGATCATGGTTAATCATTTGCTGCATAACTGTCATTAATCTATTTGCTAAAATTTTAGCAAAAATCTTATAATCTGTGTTCAATAATGAAATCAGCCTATAATTTTTAGGATCTGTTTCATCATGCCCTTCTTTTGGGATCAACGAGATAAATGCTGTCTTCCAAGTTGGAGGCACCTCTCCTCCCTGTTGTATATTGTTAAATAATTCTTTCAATGGTTCCACCATTTCCTCCTGTAAAGTTTTATAATAAATAGCTGTCAGACTGTCCATCCCAGGAGCTTTACCCACTTTCAACTGCTTAATTGCTAACACAATTTTCTCGGAAGTTATCATTTGGTTTAAACTATCCCTCTGCTCATTTGAGATTGTATAAATATTCTCTTTCTGCAAATATCTATCTATATCTATATCTTTAATTTTATCACCAGTATACAGCCTCGAATAAAACTCTAAGAAAGATTTTTTAATCAATTGTTGCTCATAAACCTCCTTACCCTTATATCTTATTTTCTCTATTGTCCTTGATTTTTGCTTTTTCCTTAACAGGTATGCTAACCACCTGCCTGGTTTATTGGCATTATAAAAAGTATTATGTTTTGCATATCGTAAATTAGTTGCCACTTGATCTGCTATTAACATGTTAAATTGACCTTTCAATAAATTGATTGCCTCTTTAATTTTCTTATCTGTTGGATTGACTATTAAAGCCTGTTCCTGTTTACTAATCTCATCTTCTAATTCTTTTCTTTTTGTCCCCTGTTTCTTTCTATGTTTATTATTCAAATATATCAAAATTCCTTGCATATATGCTTTACTTGCATCCCATACCATTTGCATAGATGTACCCTTTTGCATATTCATAACAAAAAATTCTTTCATAAATTTTTTACACTCTTTTACATTTTCTTCATACCTAAACAAATTATCATTTAACCTCCAGGACCTCCTAGACCCTTTTCCACACTCCAATTCCAACCAAACTGGACTATGGTCTGTCAATATTCTTGGGCAAATCTTCGTGTTCTTCACCCTAGATAAGAGACCATTAGTAATTAATATGAAATCAATCCTTGAAAAGGATTGATGTCTGTCTGAGAAAAAAGTAAAATCTTTTTCCTCCGGATTTCTTTCATGCCAAATATCCCTCAGCTCCCAATCATCCATCATCTCCCAAAACGCTTTGGGCAATTTTGCTCTTGTTAAAACATTTTGTTTAGGTCCCTTCTTATCTTTTTTAATATCCAAGACCCCATTCCAATCCCCCAACAGGATACAAGTTTTATATGCCCATTGTGTCAACTTCGAGTGTAGCAAATTGTAGAAATTTTCTTGTTGTTGATTTGGGGCATAGACTCCAATTACAAGTATTTTTTCTCCTTTAATTAAAAGTTCTATTGCTAAGAATCTTCCTTGGTCATCTGTTTCAATTAATTTAGCAACTAAGTCTCTTTTCAGATATATAACTATACCATTTTTCTTTTCTGATGCTGCTGCTACGTAGTGTGTACCAAGTCTTGCATTTATCAGGTATTTTTGGTCTTGTACTCTTATATGAGTCTCTTGTAAACAAATCACATCATTTTTAAATTGTTTAAGATAATGAAATATTTTTCTTCTTTTCTGTGGAGAATTCAAACCATTAACATTCCAAGTCAAAAATCTAGTTCCCATCTCTGGGCCCTTGAATCAACTGGAGCAGATTCTGGTGGTCTTGTCTCAATTGACCTGTAGGTCTTGCTCCTCCCACTGCTTCTGTTTTGGTAGATTCTTGAATTGTTTCTTGAGTTGCCATCTGGAATTGTTGCTGTCTTGATACTTCTTTGAGCCTAGCTGTCACCAATCTGGTCTGTCTTAGATCCTTGCGTTGTGCTAAATCAATTAACTCCAACTCTTGAATAGCCATCTGAATTTGTAATGGTTCTTCTCCTTGGCCTGTCAAGACTTCACCCCTCTAAATCTTAAAGCAAATTCCATATCTCTGTATTGTATCATAGCTACATCATCTTCAGCCCTCTGAATTCTGTTCTGAGCTTCTGCTAATTTATTATCCAAGATTACGGTAGATTGTTTAACTTCTTCAACTTTATCATCCACCATTTCAGTATTGCCTGCCAAACATTTAAATGTCTTTATGATATCATCCCTAATTTGCTGATTCCGAGTTGCAATCTCATCTGACACAACCTGTATTTTTTCATTGGTTTCATTAATTTTTTCATTAATCACAATAGCAAGTTTCTCTTGTGTAACTTGGAGGGCTTGTTGTAACATCTACAACGTTAAAGTCTGTGGATCTGCTGGAGGGGCAGAAGCTTGCAATCTAGGAATATGAGCTGGGGAGCTGCCAGCACTTCCCATTCCTTTAATAGGAACAGTCTTTACAGGTTTTGAGGCCATCTCCAATTTAAAATTCTTTATGTTTTAATCAGAAGTCAAAAAGAAAAGTTCCTCAAAAAAATTCCAAACTTAATTAGCATTTTAAAATCCTCCTTCTATCAATACAAAGTTCTTTCCAGGCAAAGGGCTGCCAGAAAAATGAAACTTTCTTTGACTTTCACTTTCCCCCGCCCCTTCAGGCTTCAATTGCCATTTTGTTGCAAAATGCTAATTGTTAGTTCCGAAGGAGGCTACAAATGTCGGAGTTAGGTAAAGATACTGGCAGTCTGATTTCTCCTTGCTTGTTCTGCCTGCTGCTGGTTCAAAATGTTAAAGTCCCCTCATTTCCATCGGCAGAATTGGTCGTGGCTTCTAGGTCCACTAATTAGCGGATTCATCCCTGGTTCGGAGCGGCTTGACAGGCTTTTAGGGAGCGCACACCCTTTGCGCCCCAGGATCCTTCCTAGGGCATTTGGGGGGGCTCAACCTCCACCTGTCAGCTCTTCTCTCTCCCCTTTGCCCGGGGAGAGGGTTCCAAGCCTCCAGACAGCTGTTTTTCAGCTGTTCGGGGCTTTAACGGAACCGGGAATCAGGCGCTCGTAAAAGAGCATCTTCAAGGCTCGCGAAGCCAACTGGAAGTCAACATTTAAATCTTTACAACCTCAAGAATAAGTTTGGAGACTAAAAAACAGTCAAACTTCCCTGAATTGTTTCTTTCTCGACTCTCAAATTAGGATTATTCTCCGGAGTCAAACAAAACTCTTTTCTCCAACGGCACACTTTTATGGCCAAGGCTCGTTCCCAATTCCCCTTCTAATTATCAAAACCATGATTATTTATTCTCCTTTGAACAAGGTTTATGGGATTTCCACCACCACAATTAGTGGCCAATAAATGTGACAACAAATGGGACAGACAGCATGTGATAATCTGATTTGTAACAGCCTCCTGTAGAGAGATCAGAGTTTGGGATAAAGCTGGGCAAAATCTGTAGCAGTCTGAAATCGCAGATAGCTCTTCCAAATCTGGGGGCAAACTGGACCTTCTTCACTGTAGTTGTGGGTTTTTTGTGATCTCTGAGATTTAACTCTGTGCTGAAGAAAGAACTCTAGGAAGGATCTCCTGCAGTATTCTGTATGTCAAATGTTGCTGCTGCTGCATACACAGCTTTTTCTGCTTCAGTTTCTGTCTCAAATTCCCTGTGCCAGTACGCTGATGAAATGTCCATTTAAGGTGATCATAGAAGAAAAGGAGTGGTTCCATTACTACAAGCCTGGAGACTACTGGATTACGGGAATAATGTCTGGAATTGGAGCTCTATTGTACCCATTTTCATTCTCCAAGCCTCCAACCCACCAACTGAAAAGGTAATCGTCACCTCGTCCAAGGATTCTGGTGATTGATTTACTTGCTCCAATGTCTTTTCTTTATATATATATATATTTAATACAAACATTCCCTCTTTCAGTAAACTGTGTTGTCCGAGTACATTATTTGTATTTATTCTTATATTACTACTGATATTTAACATACCTATTATTATAACATTTCTCTTCTTAACTTATTTGTCTTTATAATACATTGCTTTCATATTTATTTATTCTCCAGCCATTGATAGAATAACTCCCATATATTGTAATAATCAGATTCTTCCTTTCCTTTGATTGCAAGTCTTAATTTATTCATTTCTGCACATACTAATATTTTCTTAATCATATTTTTATCCATAGGGATTTTTTCCGATTTTGTGCAAATACAATTCTAGTGCAGTTATTACATGAATAATCAAGTATACATTTTCTTTACTATAAGCTTTTCATAGAATCCCCAACAGGAATAGTTCAGGTTTTAAATTGATATGTTGCTGTGTCATCTTCTCCAACCACATACCTCCAATGTCTTTTCTAGGAATGATTTCCTTTCCCCTATTCCTCACCTTGAGAAAGTCAAGTCATTATTGCTCATCCCAATTTGCTTTAGACGAAAGGCTCCTGGGGAACCTGATGATGTTGTAAAACCTGAGTTGGCAAAGTTTCTTTTTAAGTTCTTCCACAACTGTCAGCCTCAACACTGGGCAACAATGGGCACTGCCAACTCTCTCCCACAATGAATCTTGCTTGGATGGGGTTCTGCCTGCTTTCCAAATGATTACCTTGGTACTGTGGAGAGTCAGCAACCTATTTATTCATATCTATTTTATTTATTTATTAACAATATTTAAACAGTAACTCCCAATAAATTATTTTCTCTTGTATTTTCTCCCCACTGTTTCTTCCCCTTCCTTACATTTACTCTATAATTCCTACCACCCTCTCTGCTCTTTCTTTCCACCCTTTAACACTTTTGCCATTTTTGTGGCTTCTCTGTTCCTTTTTGTTTAAATAAAAGGGATACTTTTTAAAAACCAAATTCAAGGAGGGGAGAGACTTTATGAGATAAGTTAATGTTTAGTCACAGAGGAATCACATTAACTGTAGTAAACTGTAAAATATAGGACAATAACTCTAAAGCCATGAATGTTGTTGATGCTAAGTCGTGTTCAACCCATTGCAAGCCCATGGACAACGTTCCTCCAGGCCTTCCTGTCCTCTTCCATCCTCTGGAGTCCATTTAATCTCACTCCTACTGCTTCAGTGACTCCATCCAGCCGCCTCATTCTCTGCCATCCCCTTCTTCTTTTGCCCTCAATTGTTCCCTGCATTAGGCTCTTTTCCAGTGAGTCCTTCCTTCTCATTAGGTGGCCAAAGTATTTGAGTTTCATCTTCAGGATCTGGTGTTCTAAAGAGCAGTCAGGGTTGATCTCCTCTAGGACTGATGATTGATCGCTTTGCAGTCCAAGGGACGCTCAGGAGTCTTCTCCAGCACTATAGTTCAAAGGCGTCAATTCTTTGGCGTTCAACCTTCTTTATGGAAGCCATAAGTATTTTGCAGCAAATCTCTAGGTCTAAAGAAGACTTGCTAAAGAGATATCCATCTTCAGATAGGTAATACCGCTTGCTAATCTAGCAGTTGAATCCAACTCTTAGTCCTCTTCAGGGTGATATAACAGGAAGAAATCATATCATATGATCACAACATATACATGTACATTTGGTAGCATCCCTTATTAGCATTCTTGAGGACTGGGAAGATATGGATCTTGTATAGTTCTTCTGTGTAATTTTGCCACCTCTTCTTAATCTCTTCTGCCTCTGTTAGGTCCCTGCCATTTTGGTCCTTTATCATGCCCATCTTAGCATAAAACATTTCCTTCATATTTCCAATTTTCTTGAAGAGATCTCTAGTCCTCCCTATTCTATTGTTTTCTTCTATTTCTTTGTATTGTTCATTTAAGAAAATATCTCTTCTAGCTATTCTCTGGAATTCTGAATTCAATTGGGTGTATCTTTCTCTTTCTCCCTTGCCTTTCGCTTCCCTTCTTTCTTCAGTTATTTGCAAAACTTCTTCTGACAGCCATTTTACTTTCTTGAATTTCTTTTTCTTTGGGATGGTTTTAGTTGCTACTTCTTGTACAACTTTGCGAACCTCCATCCATAATTCTTCAGGCACTCTGTCTATTAGATTTAATTCATTAAATCTATTTGTGCGTCTACTGTATATTCATCAGGGATATGATTTGGTTCACACCTGAGTCGTATGATTTTAATTAAATTTTATGGATTGTTGTGAATTGATGAGTGATATATTAGTTTTGTAAATATGTAAGTGAATAAAATAAATGCTTTGGTTTTGCAAAAAGTTTATTATAAGCAGATTGAAACAGGTACAATAGTAAGAAAACTTCACATTTTCCTTTTGAGTAGAAGAAGGTGTGGAGGTTTCTTACTATTGTAACTATTTTCCTTACCTGGCTACTGAACTATATGAATAATTTTTCTCATTTTTTCCTTCCAAGTCATAATGTGGAGAAAATGATAGGCAGAATCAGTACTGGTGATTTTGAAAAGATTTCTTTGATCCTGACATAACAAGCTTGCTATCTCTCTCTGATATTTCTTTTGGCAAGAAGCTCCTAGTGGTGTCAATGGGACTGTTCTTTTTTTTTTTAATTTGATTTATATGCCGCCCTTCTCCGAAGACTCAGGGCGGCTTACAATGTGCTCAGCACATTCTTCTCATAGAAATTTCAAAAATGTCTATCACTTGCAAAGTTCAAATAAATTGAATAATTTAATTGAAATGTCAACTCGCAAAGCATCCCTGCTCCTGAGTTGCCATAGGCCAGGGGAATGGGAAACGAACAAAACAGCACAGCAGCCAAAGACAGATGCACATTCCAGACTTATCTCTCTCAAGGCTGTATTCCAGGGTTACCGCAGCGGCTGGAGAGGAGCGATCTCTACAACCCGCGAAATTGCTCTATTGGTGAATGTGATTGATGACAAACCCTAGACGGAGGGAGGAAACAGGGTCATGATTGGGGCGTACATTATATGGGGTCAGAGTTGGCTTCACTTGACAATGTGCCGACATGAAGCTCCTAATAAATAACTGGATTTCTTTTGAAGCTTGGCTCATGGCTCATTATTTAATTAGGGCATCTGTTGGAACCCTGACAAGAATAATGAGAAGTTGATTATCTTTTTGGCATTGCACTATATAGATATGAAGCTACAGTAAATATGACTTGCTTTCATGAAAATCCAAACTGAAGATATATTTCTTTCTTTACTGGAATTTGTCAAAAAAATGAGAACAAGAATAATAGAATAAATATACAATGACAGGGACGATAGCAGTGACGAAATTCAATATTTTTTTACTATCAGTCTGTGGGCATGGCTTAGTGACCATGGTATGGCTTGGTGGACATGGCTTGGTGGGTGTGGCAGGGGAATGATGCTGCAAAATCTCCATTCCCACCCCAATCCAGGGGAAGGATACTGCAAAATCCCATTCCCACCATAATCTGGGGCCAGTCAGAGGTGGTAATTGCCAGTTCTCCGAACTACTCAAAATTTCCACTACTGGTTCTCTAGAACCTGCTGAATTTTACCCCTGGACGATAGGCACATTAGTGCACCTACGCATGCTCCCTCTACTGACCACTTAAAGCATGAAGTAAGGTCCATGGAAGTTAATTTGTGATAGAAACTGTGAAAATTTGTAGCTGAGACAACTTAATCAGGTAGGGCATTCCAGACTTTGACAACTCTATTAGAGAAATTTTTTAGCAATGCTGTTACAGTGAGCTTTGGAGCATAAATCCTCAGAGATAAGTACACCTAGTTCTTTAACGAGGTAAGGGTCATCTCCTAGATCAATGCCACCTATCTTATACTTGACATTCTGACTACGTTTACCAATATGTAAGACAGAGCATTTATGAATCGAAATTTGAAGTTGCCAGATAGATGACCATTCAGACACCATTCAGAAATGTAGTTGAGATCACTTTGCAAAACAACAGAATTATCTGTAAAATTGAATAATTTTATGTCATCGGTAAAAAAGAATGCAATTGCTTTTAAGTTGATCACATAAATCGTTGATATAGAGCAAAAAAAGAGGTCTTATGTTGCAGTGAGAACATCTTCTACCACATTCTGCCCTTCTTATTGGCTGTTCATGAAGTCAACCAGAATTCAAGGCTCTTACCCAACATCACCCTGGGCTACAACATCTATGAGACCTTTTTCAGTGCAAGAATGACATATGAGGCCATGCTGGATGTGCTGTCTACAGGACAGGAGAACATCCCAAACTACAGATGTGGAAGACAAAAGAACCTGCTGGCGATTCTTGAAGAGATGGATTCTGAACTCTTTGATCATATTTCCAATGTCTTGAACATCTATAAAATTCCACAGGTATAAAGCCAAATTAAGGAGCTTGGATAGCTCAGCAGACTAATGCATTGTAATTTAACTCCAGCTGTCTGCAATTAGTAAGTTCGAATCTTGCCAGGCTCAAGGTTGACTCAGCCTTCCATCCTTTCTAAGGTAGGTAAATTGAGGACCCAGTTTGTGGGGGCAATAAGCTGACTTTGTATAAATATACAAAAGTATGAAGGCTATTGCTTAACGCATTGTAAGCCGCCCTGAGTCTCCGGAGAAGGGCGGCATATAAATCAAATTAAAAAAAAAAATTAATTCCATGTTATAAAATGTTCAGATTTGCCTAGAAGGCAGCAGTTGTATATATTTCTCCAAATAACTTGAAAGTCAGAGAGTAAATATTAGAAGAGCTGAAAGACTTTTTAATTCACAAAGTATGCATGTGTGTATATACATGTGTGCGTGTGTGTGTGTGTTTGTGTGTGTCTATATACATAAAGTGCTGGGCTGCTGCCGGTTCAGACAGGTTCTAGTGAACCGGTAGTTCCGGCGATCAGTTGTCCCTGTCCATGTCACCTGCCCCCACCCTATCCTGTCCTATACTTCCGCGTTTCTCAGCTCAGCTGATTTACGTGGTATGGTGGATTTCCATGCCTCAGCTGTTTTACTTACTGGGGCTGCCCTAGAAGGTAAGCTGTAGATGTTAAAATTGGTGTATTTTGAATGCTGTGCATGCGCACAAAGCACATGGTTACAGAAACACACACACACAAGTATGTGGTTGCACTAGAAGACTTTCCAGCTCTATTCTCATTGACTAATTGACTGAGTGTAAAGGTGACCCACAGAGTTCTAATGTGACCAGAAGGGTGTGCTCTATAAGGACCACCAATGAACATCACCCACAGATAATTCAGAGCTCCCTGATTTCAAAGGGAGCATAAAAGTCAACAGGACAGAACATCAAGGGAACTAGCAAAATTCATGCAGTTATCATTTGAAGTGTCTCTCAGCAGTGTGGAAAGGCTCTTAGATTTACCAACTGACCTTTATCATTAAAACTGGCACAAACTACCAATACCTTCTCTTTCATCTTAGATCAACTATAGTATCACCAACCAGATGGCTGAGCAAAATCATCCTTTTCCTTTTTCATATCGGATGACCCCAAACCAAGAACCTCCTGACTCAGCAATTGTCAATCTACTCCTGCAGTTCCAATGGATGTGGATTGGCCTCCTTTCTCGGGACAATGAAAAAGGAGAAAAATTCAAAAGACGCTTGGAAGTTCTCGCTCTAAAAAATGGGATTTGCATTGTCCTCTCAGGAACCGTCCCAGAAGGAAATATGAAGACAAGTACTGGAGAAACTCATATGCAAGAAAAAAGGAAAATGTTCTTTTCTCTTATCAAGAGTCAAATAAAAATTATAGTATGCCAACTGGATTTTCAGGCCTCGGGAATGTTAACAGCAATAATACAAATGATTGATACGACTAATACATCCATTGTGGGAAGGGTGTGGATTGCAACAACTTTGACAGCTTTAAGTGTAAGTATTTTTGATCGCTTGCTTGATCTCCAAAATAAATATGCTTTGTTTTCCTTCCTCATCCAGACAAAGAGAAGGACTCAGTATGATGACATTAAATCTTATGCATCTACAGTCATATCGTATGGAAAGGAAGCATTCCAATGTTCTTATATAAGTCCTGTGTTATCTAAGAAAATTTGGAAAAAATGCAGAGAAAAAGAGAATTGGGAATTCCCACCCAATGATGTGATTACAAGAATCCTGTCTCAGGATTCCTCCAGTATTTCCCAAATAATTCAAATTGTGGCCTGGATCCTCAGTGCTGCCTCTTCCTCCCAACGGAATAAGAGGAGAATGAAAGTTGGAGACAATCAACCACCGCAGATTGTACAGCCATGGCAGGTAAGTCTTCTCCCTTGACGTTCCACGGATTCTCCCCTTCCAATTCCTCAATATTAAATTAGATGTAGAAAGGGCAGTTGCCCAGTTTGTGGTATTTGACAGTGAGTGTCAACCCTGAAGCTGACCTGACCGAGGCTTCAGTGTTGCGACACTGAAGCTGAGGGATAAGGAGGGGGAAATAGAGATAGCTGGGGTTTTGTAGCCAAAACAAAATATTTTCTCCTGGCAACGAAGTACATTCCCAACAATGGCCAGAATTAGGATGAGTGAAGTCACCAGGCAACCAGATGACACCTTGATTGGACCATTGACTGATTGTGTGGAAAGGGGAGGAAAACTTTTACTTTTAATTAGGTGAAAACTGTGGGAACATTTAGAGTCAGTTTTCACCATCCTATGCCTATATGGTATGTCCAATAAAACTGATATTTGAGGAATCTGCTTGCCTCAGAGTCCTGTTTGCTATGGGCATATTACTTGGAACCCTGCTGGTGAGTTAGAGAGAGATGATAGAGAAAAATCTTCCAAAGTTAAACAACCTGTACTAGTTTGGGATGCTTATGTGACAGAAATAGCTCTATGGTGACAACTTAATTTTCAAAACTAAACAAGCATCAGAATATTCAAGCAATCTTCAACCTTTTATTGTGATCACAAGTGATATAGTCTCCAAGCTAAGGAGTTCAGCTGGATTGTTTTTTCTGGATTAAGATTGAATTTTGCTAGCTAAAATTTTCTAACATAGCAAGATATTAATCAAAGCATCTTCTGGGGGCAACAAAAGGTTCATCCATACATCTCCTCAACTAATGGATATGCTTCTATAGCTATTCTTTGAAAGAGATAACATCACTATGCAATTTTTTCACATTCCTAGTGCAACATTAAGCTCCGCTAACTTTATCTTGATCAGGACTGATGGCAAAATTGTATTCTCTGCCTTCTCCCATTACAAGTTTTCCCATATCTGCAAATGGTCTTGCCTCAGATGGGGCTGCAATGGTGAAGCAGCAAAATATAGAACATAAAACATAGAATAAGATTTTGAAAGATCTCAGAGATTTTCTAGTCCAACCCACTATTATAGGAACCCCTCAAATATTAGAAAAGTGATATCATGTCTCCCCAATCCTTCTTTTCCTTAAACTAGACATACCAAATTCCTGTAACTATTCTTGGTATGTTTTAGCCTCCAACCTTCTAATCACTTTTTGCTCATCTCTATAGTCTTTCCAGAATTTCAATATCTTTTGTATATTGTGTTGACCAGAACTAATGCAGTCTAGGAGTGCATTGGCATTTTTGTCTCCTGCCAGACATCGTTGGCTCATATTTAAGTGATTGTCCACTAGTATTCCAAGATCTTTCTCATGGGTACCGGCATTGAGCCAAGTTTCACTTAGTCTGTACCTATACTGTTGGTTTTTCTTGCCTAAGTATAAAACCTTACTTTTATCTATGTGGAATTTCATTCTGTTAGGTAGAGGACCATGTTCAATTTGTCAAGATCTTTTTGGATCTTGAGCTTGTCTTCTGGGATGTTGGCTATTCCTTCCAGCTTAGTGTCATCTGCAAATTTGATGAGTTCCCCTTCAATTCCCTCACCTACATCTTTTTTGAAGATGTTGAAGAGTACTGGGCCTAAAATGGAAGCTTGGGGTGCTCCACTGTTTACTTCCCTCCATGTGGATGAGGTTCCCTTGAGGACTACATGTTGAATATAATTTGTCAGACAGCTACAAAGACACCTGATGGTGGTGTTACCTATACTATATTTTCAAGAATGTGAGATAAATATTTGAAAAAGAACCATATTTTCCGGACTATTAGGTAGACCTAACTTTAAGACACACCTAAATTTAGAAGAGGAAAACAACAAGAAAAGTTTTTGGCCTCAACACGCTCCATTTTTGGCCCTTTTTTTGGCCCTTTTGCAGCCATTTTTTTGCCCCATTTTCAGGGTTTATTTCAGCCCATTTTGGGGTGAGGCTTCTGCAATATTAGGTCTATAAAATGCACAGACATTTTCACCCCATTTTGGGAGACAAAAAAATGTGTCGTATAGTCCGAAAAATACGGTATTTGAAAAAGAGCTGTAAATTCCTGAAGAATGACTGAAAGAAGCTTCCCATGAAATACTGAAGTGATCTGCTTCAGACTGCAGTGGTGATTTGAAGAGGTGGAATTATTCAGAGTATCTCCAATCCAGAATAATAGCAAGGAAAAAAATTGAATAAAGGCTCAAACTGTAATGTTTTTTTCTATGTTTCTGCAGCTTCATAGGTTCCTGAGAAACTTTCAACATCACAATATTTCCAGAGATGGGATTTCTTTTGATGAAAATGGAGTTCCTGTTGGTGACTTTGATATCATGCAGTGGACATCTGTTTTGAACAAATCACATGCAGGGGTGAAAATTGGGAATGTAGAAAGACAAGCCTCCTCAGAAGTCAAGATTTCTGTCAATCAAAGCGCCATCCAATGGCCAACTTTATTTAACAAAGTAGTTGAGGCTGCTTGTATTTTGCTCTTCTATTTATTTCCATATGTAGAAATTTTTCTGTTCAGAAATAATTCTTATTGAGGCCAACTGAGATAACTTCCAAATAAGAGAACTTAAAGCCTCATTAATTTATTAGATATCATTTTACTTTAGAGGTTTTACAATAATTTATCACACGCTGGAACCTGCTGCATTGTATTGTGGGATTTGCAATCTACATTATTAAACTGGAATATATTGCCACAATTTATAGTACATCAAATTATATAGTACATCAAATTTTTCAAAAGGCACCTGGACTTTGTTTTCCCTTGAAGATGTTTCACTTCTCATCCAAGAAGCTTCTTCGGTTCTGACTGAATAGTGGATGATGGAAAGATTTGGAACTGCTGAAAAGACTGTGTTGTAAACAGGATATAGATTCAGCAATTGCAGGAATGTTCCACACCCATTTGCACTACTGACATGACCTTGAGGGCACAGATAAATTTTAAGTGGCCTCAATAACTTTCAGAAAGATTGCTAGCTACCAAATGACTGAAAGGAATATAAATCCTCCACTATTCAGTCAGAACTGAAGAAGCTTCTGGAATGAGAAGTGAAACATCTTCAAGGGAAAAGAAAGATCAGTTGTCTTTTGAAAAAGCACCTTTGGGAGAAAATCCAGAATATGAAGGGTTTAGCCCACTGAATTGCATAAGAGAAAGATATCACTAAGAATGTGGTGAAGGAAATGTGGGCAGCTAAAAAAGTAATTTACATTTGATGATACAATGATCAGTTGTAGGAGAGAAAGATAGGGACTCTAGAGAAAGCTAGATATTGGAGGTTTCCTGAGAAAGCAAAGATGGAGAAAAATATATATACCGTATTTTTCGAAGTATAAGATGCTCTGGACTATAAGACAGACCTTAGTTTTGTGGGAGGAAAATAAGAAAAACAAAATCTGCCTCTGCCTACCAGCATCCATCCGTATTTATCTGGCTAGCATCCTGTTAGTGTGTGAGAGAATTGAGGGCTGTTTGGAAACTGAAACAGTATTTGCTGTGTGAGCAACAAGGAAGGAGCCTGGGTGTGGGTTAGGTCAATTGTTGTAAAGCTGCATGCTGTGCTGATCACAGAAACTAAAACTGAAACTCCTCTCCTCTGCTTGTGTTTTCCTTGTTGCTGAAAACTCTGACAGTCCTTGCACGAACAGCCAGGTCAGCTTCAGCACATTATTGCAGCCTGATTCAGCACAAGGAACTGATTGTCAGGTGGATTGTTCTCCCAGAATAATCCAAATCAGCTGTTCCAGGCTACAGGGATTGCCATAGACCATCGCCTCGTCTGTGCCTCACATTTTTGGCTACATTTGGTAGCACTCAAATTTTCACCCTCTTTTAGGGGGGGGGTTGCGTCTTATACTCCGAAAAATATGGTAAATTATAGCATTCTTATACATGCCCTAAGGAGAAACACCTTTTGCAATGGAACTATTTTCCTTTGGAAAAAAGAATGAGGCAATGAGTCTGTTTTGGGATCTACAATGGAGATTGATAGAGAAAGAAAATGACCTTTTATTGGCCCCTTGCAAGTAGAGTAATTAAAGTTCATGCCACTACTTCTTGACTGATTTTGCTCAATGGGTTTCTGAGCTTCTGGAAGACACTTGATTTCAGTAAAACCGTCTAATTCAAATATCACCCTGACTAATCTTTCTGTTTATGTTTAGATGGTGCCTTATTCAAGATGTACAGAAAGTTGCTCCCCGGGTTATGCCAAGCTTGTGAGAGAGGGAGCCCCAGTTTGCTGCTACGAGTGTTCTCTGTGTATGGAAGGAACATTCTCTGAGCAAGAAGGTACAGTAGGTGACTCCAAAAATAATAATAAAAATTCAGGATACAATCAATATATTATCTTGTTTTTTGGGGGAGTATTTGATCAATAAGTAAGAAAAACATTACATTTCTTGAAGGCATCCACAAACTTCAAAGATTGGGCACTATTGCCAAATTTGGATGATGATATGAGTATAAAAAGAAATAATGAAAGGTTGCTGATTTCTATTCAATTGTTACTTTCTTGCTTTGTTTTAGGAAAGAAGATTTGAGAACTGATCATCACATTCATCTTCAGCCTTTAAAAAGACTGTTTGATTATTTTAATTAATGTTCTGTCATATGGATATCCCTGGGGAGAAATATTATATTATTCCTTGAAAATAAAGTAACTAATTTCTGATGCGGTTTTCATGCTCCTACAGCTGCCGAAACAGATTCATGCTAACTTTTTTTTTTCTCAGATGCAGCCCATTGTGAAAAGTGTCCAGATGACCAGTATTCCAATAAGAAGCGAGATCAGTGTGTCCCCAAAAATATAAGCTTCTTATCCTATCAAGAATTGTTGGGACTCATCCTGGCTTTCATTGCCATCGCTTTGTCCCTAATCACCGCCTTTATTCTGGGAATCTTCATGAAATACCGAGACACTCCCATAGTCAAAGCCAACAACTGTGAACTCACCTACATCCTCCTGGTTTCACTCCTGCTTTCTTTCTTGACCTCCCTTCTATTCATCGGTCGCCCCATGAAAATGACCTGTCTCCTTCGACAAACCATTTTCAGTATTGTTTTCTCAGTTGCTGTGTCTTCCTTGCTGGCCAAGACTGTCATGGTGGTGGTGGCCTTTCTGGCCACAAAGCCAGGCAGCAGCATGAGGAAATGGCTGGGCAAGAGTCTGGCCAACTCTATTGTTTTATCCTGCTCTGGTGTTCAAGTAGGCCTCTGTATGATGTGGCTGGGAGTCTTTCCCCCATTCCCAGATTCTGACTTTCATTCCCAACCAGAACACATCCTGCTGCAGTGCAATGAAGGCTCTGTCACCATGTTCTACTCTGCTCTTGGCTACATGGGTTTTTTGGCTGCCATCTGTTTCTTGGTGGCATTTCTGGCTCGAAACCTGCCAGGGGCTTTTAATGAAGCCAAACTGATCACCTTCAGCATGTTGGTTTTTTGTAGTGTTTGGATCTCCTTTGTTCCCACATATCTGAGCACCAAGGGGAAATACATGGTAGCCGTGCAGATCTTCTCCATCCTGGCCTCTGGCCTGGGTTTACTGGGCTGCATCTTTATCCCCAAATGCTACATTATTATCCTGAGACCTGACATGAACACCAAAGAACATCTCATGATAAAAAATCATTAGGTTTCTTTATTTTGATGTTTATTTTTGTACATTTACATGCAGCATGAAATCACTTACTTTGAAGTAATGTTTCATGTGTTGTTGCTTATCTTTCTTCATTCCATGCGAAATTTTTATTATAATAATTGAGTAGTAAAATTGCTAAAACAACTCAAACTATTTGAAATAATCATATCCTTCAATTGTCATAATCTGAGTTCATATTATGACATTAATAAAATTTCTGAAACCAAGCCAGTTAAATTGTGACCAGAGATGTTCTAATATGGTTTTAGATTAAATTAAAGACTATGGCTATTTTTTAAAAAAGTTTTTTTTTAAATTTTTTACACAAACACACATACAAACATACAATGTATTTTTTCTGAACAGAGTATTTGGCCAGTTGACAAATTTAAACAGTTTTTAGTCATTTCAACTAAATTACAATTTCTATACTTCCTTTTTGCCATAATATTTATTCTCTCTATTTTTAAAAAAAAAATATTACCCTTCATCCTAACCTCTAATCTTAACCAAGTTTCAATTTTTCCCTTCCATTCTATATTGTACCCCTCAAATTTAAGATCTCACCTAATATGATTCCTAGTATTTCCTTATATTCCTTTATTATAATTACTGATGTTTTCCATTGTCATCTATTTCAATATCCATCACCTTACCACAAATTAATTAATTATGTGGTGTTACAATCATTCATTTCTTATAAGAATAATAAACCCAATTGTTTTATAGCATACATTTCCTTAAATCTTGTTCCAAATAATACAATCCAACATCAGTTAGTTATATAGCTATTTTTCTTCTTTATATAATAATCATAAACCAAATAATTTTCCCCATATATTTCTTTTAAACATCTATAGTTTTCAATTATTTTGTCAAGCATAAAAATATTCCAATTATTACAACTTCTGTAATTTACTTTAAGAGTATTCCAGTTATTATCCTCTAATTTATTAAACTTATTCACATTTCTAAAACCCATCATTATATAAATTCCAGGAATGTAAACATGAATATTCCAATTAACACAATTTCCATACAATCCAACTTCTTAAAAAGTCAGTTAATTATGTAGCCATCTTTTCTCTTTACATGATAATAATAAACCAAATAACTTTCCCCATATATTCCTCAAAACCACAACTTAATCATTTCTGCTTTCACCAAAATATACAATTAAAAATATTTATCTAAATTCCAAAATGCAGATAAAAATATTCAAATTATTATTCAATTCATTTATACATTCATATGATTTTCCATTATTTCTTACTTCAATTCATATTTCAATTCTAAATATATATAACATATTCCTCTTTCATTTCTTTCTCCTTTTCTCCCTTTCTATTTTTATTTTTGCCTTTTTCTTTCCCCCTTTTTTCTTTTGTGCTTTAAAATGTTGAACTCTCCTATTTTGCCCTATATTTCCCATTATTTCCCATCTCTTTTCCCTTTTTCTTATTTTCCCACTGTTAATTCCAGTGTAATCATTTTGTATTTCGAAGTCCTGGACTCTTCTATTTTGCCCTGTATTTCCTGCTGTTTTCCACCCTTTTTCTCTCTTTTTTGTCTTTCCACTGTTAATCCCAGTGTAATCATTTAAATTTTTTATATTCTTTCTATTCCACCCTTCTTTCCTTCTTTGTCTCTGTCTACCCTCTGTTTTTTTCCATTGTTAATCCCAATGTAATCTCTAAAAGCCTCCTTTTTATTGTTACTATCCACATAATCATTTAATTTTCCATAGTCAATCTTCTTTATCTTTCTTTATCTTTTATTAAATTTGTATACCGTCCTACTCCCGAAGGACTCAGGGCGGTGAACAGGCACAAAATAAAACACATAAATACAAAAGTTAAAAAACATAATTAAAACCAAATTAAATAATTTTGCCTGAGACAATTAAAATTCCCAATAATTTAAAAACAAATTAAAATTTCAGTTTAAAAATTTTAAAAGAAGGGGAGAAAATTAGGCCAGGCCGGCCTGCTGGAATAGGAGGGTTTTAAGAGCACGGTGGAAAGTGCTGAGATCCGGGATCCTCCGTATCTCCGTGGGGAGCTCGTTCCAGATAGTAGGTGCCTCCACAGAGAAGGTCCTCCCCCTGGGGGCTGCCAGTCAACATTGTTTGGCTGACGGCACCTGGAGGAGCCGCTCTCTATGAGAGCGTACCAGCCGGTGGGAGGCTGTTTGTGGTAGTAGGCGGTCCCGTAAATAACCAGGTCCTAAGCGAAATCTTGTTGTCTTTATCTTCTTCTTTATTTTCAGTCTCTGTGTCTTGCTTCTCTGTCGTTATTTCCTTGTCAGCTTGAGTATGCTCTGTCACAATTTTTGGATCCTCAGGTTTCAATTCTCCATGTAACATTGTAATTATTTCCCTTATTTCCATTTTCCATGACAAGTACATCATTTTCATAATTTCTCTAATTTCCTGCGCCATTTTATTCTTTCAGGGTTGATATTATTCCAATTTAAAAGTTTCGTTGTATTCCTCTTTTTTATTTTCAAAGTCATGCTGCTTGCAGACAAAGAAATCCTCCCCAAAGATTCTCACGACTGTTAGCACTATTAAAGTTCAGAGTTTTCCAAAACAAAAATTCCGAATTGCAATGTTCTTATTTATCCTGAAGATGTCTCTCTACAATCCACAATTCCAATCAGCAGTCTGACAAAGTATCCATTTTGTTTGAATCCATGTTAACAGTCTTTACTAATTTCTCTTTTCTTCTTTTTAACTTTGAAAATGCCAAATCAGTTTTAGAGTCCAGTCCAGATTAAACAATACGTTCTCCCCCCCCACTTTTTTTTTTTAGTACAGCACTTCTATTGCAGGGCTTAATTTCCAATTTCTCTTTTATTTTTCTTTAACATTCAAAAAAAAAAAGGATCTGCTTATTTTCTTTCCAATCTTTTAGCCAATTCTGGGGCTATTTCTTCTAATTTTTAAATTCACCAAATATTTTTATTCAAAAGTCAATTTTCTTTTTGGGTTTTTGTCAATTTAAGTTTCCACTTCAAACATCTTCTTTTCTGCCCCCCCCCCATGCCCATTAGCAGGGGGTTGGACTAGAAGACCTCCAAGGTCCCTTCTATTCTATTCTATTCTATTCTATTCTATTCTATTCTATTCTATTCTATTCTATTCTATTCTATTCTATTCTATCCATCAAACATGTTTTGTCATATTTTGGCGCTCGGTGAGTAAAAGTTTCACCACCGCTGCCCTGGGCTCAGGTCCTCAAATTTTGTTTAGCCCTTCACCTTCAACCATTGTGGCATTGTACTCATATAGCATCATCTCTTGGTTCCCTACTAGATACCTTATGTAAGAGAAAGCAGATGTCATCACATCAGGAGGAAAAGGAGGCAAAGTGGTTAGAATGCAGTATTGCAGGCTATTTCTGCTGGCTGCCTGCATTTTGGCAGTTTGATTCTCACCGGTTCAAGGTTGACTCAGCCTTCTGTCCTTCTGAGGTCAGTAAAACGAGGACCCTTATTGTTGGGGGTTATATAAGTCTGCTATTGCGATTGCTATCATGAAGAAGTCAATAACGGGCCATTGTTTCAGATTAACGCCCCAGGGAATTTGAACTAGATCTTCTTTGTAAACATTGATACTCACTTCTACATTTTGAAAGATACAAGACATTTAACAGGGGGCTCCAATAGCAATAGCACTTAGACTTATATACCACTTCATAGTACTTTACAGCCCTCTCTTAGCAGTTTACAGAGTCAGCATATTTGCCCCCAACAATCGGGGTCTTCCTTTTACTGACCTTGGAAAGATGGAAGGCTAAGTCAACCTTGAGTTTGGTGAGATTTGATCTGCCAAACTGCTGGCAGCCGGTGATCAACAGAAGTAGCCTGCAGTACTGCACTTAACCACTGCGGCACCACAGCTCATCATCTACAACAATAGTTTGTTAAATATGTCATGATCTGGTGTTAACCATTCTAGAGTATCAAACTTTCATTGAAGAAGATGGCCTCATCCACACCAGACAAAATAAGAAGGAATTATAATGGCCCACTGCTTAGTCCAAGAATGTTGAACTGTTTTTCCACATTTTAATCTTTGCAATCTCAAGAATAAGTTTGGAGACTAAAAAATAGTCACACTTCCCTGAATTGTTTCTTTCTTGACTCTCAAATTAGGATTATTCTCCTGAGTCAAAGAAAACTCTTTTCTCCAACGGCACACTTTTATGGCCAAGGCTCGTTCCCAATTCCCCTTCTAATTATCAAAATCATGATTATTTATTCTCCTTTGAACAAGGTTTATGGGATTTCCACCACCACAATTAGTGGCCAATCAATGTGACAACAAATGGGATAGACAGCATGTGATAATCTGATTTGTAACAGCCTCCTGTGATGAGATCAGAGTTTGGGGAAAAGCTGGGCAAATACTCTAGCAGTCTGAAATTGCAGATAGTTCTTCCAAATCTGGGGGTAAACTGGACCTTCTTCACTGTAGTTGTGGTCTTTTTGTGATCTCTGAGATTTAGCTCTGTGCTGAAGAAAGAACTCTAGGAAGGATCTCCTGCAGTATACTCTATGTCAAATGTTGCTGCTGCTGCATATACAGCTTTTTCTGCTTCAGTTTCTCTCTCAAATTCCCTGTGCCAGTACACTGATGAAATGTCCATTTAAGGTGATAATAGAAGAAAAGGATGGTTCCATTACTACAAGCCAGGAGACTACTGGATTACGGGAATAATGTCTGGAATCGTAGCTCTATTGTACCAATTTTCGTTCTCCAAGCCTCCAACCCACCAACTGAAAAGGTAATTGTCAACTCGTCCAAGGATTCTGGTGATTGATTTTACGTGCTCCAATGTCTTTTCTTTATGTATATATTTATAACATTTCTCTTCTTAATTTATTTGTCTTTTAAAACATAACAGAGAAATGCATAGAGGAGAGAGACAATATACATTTTATTCACACCCACATCAATCCTGATCCAGGATTGATATGGTTTGGATGAAAGCTGAAATACGGACAGGATTGGAAGAAGTAGAAATAGGAGTAAATGAGTGGACAGACCATAACCCAATAACAATAAAATGTAAAGGACAAAAAAGATTTAAAAGATGGACATTGAATCAAAATATATGTAAAGACAAAGAATACAAACAGATGTTGGAAAGTGAGTTGAAGATATTTTATAGTGTAAGTAAAAAAGAAGATACATCAATACAAAACCTCTGGGACACACTAAAGGCATATATCCAAGGACTGACAATGGCTTATAATGCAAGGAAGAAGAAGGAAAGGAAATGTCAACAAAAAAAATTACAGGAAGAACTTAAAAAGTTAGAAAGAAACCTACAGGAAGATCCCCAAAATAAAAAAATAAAAGAGGAATGGAATATAGTCAAACATAAAATAAATTTAACAATCCAAAAGGAAATAGCACACAAAATAAAGATGTCAAAACAAAATTATTTTGAACATGCGAATAAAACAGGTAG